AAAAGCTATGAAGAAACAAGAAAATCATTAATCATTGCGAAGAACCAAATCGTTTCTCTAAAAAATAAAAACACAGAAATGAAATAATATAACTAAATTCTACAACGAACTACACAAAGCCCCTGAACCACTTGAACTAGTAACCAAGAATATGTACCAGAAGTTCTTCCGGAAGAAGTATAATCGACAACTACAAAATGAAAAGCAAAAATAGTAAAGCGGCTGGAATAGATGGCATAATAGTGAAATTGCTTAAATACGCTAGTAAAAAAGCTGGAAAATCTTAGCAGGCATATTTACGAATATTGGAGAGTATCAAGAAATGCCTTTATGGTCTTGATCTCAATGAAGGGAAACCCCCAATCTGTACCTCCACGCGGTATAAGACGGGCAACATTTAAGTAGATAGCTTAGGTGGCTGACGCAGATGGGTACCTAGTGTTTGCCGGTATAAGCATTCAACGTTATTCTTAGGAAAGATGCAAGGGCAACCTCTAGTTCTGAGAAGGAGAAATCGTCCCCGAAGGCGAATGGGTGACATCCGTCGTCAACGGCATGGGATGCGAAAGACAAGTGAGAAACCATAGCATTAAATTCCCAAGATAGTTAATATGGCAAATCAGAATCAAAACATGGCGCCTAGTTCCCGGGAGGCGTTCAATCGTCAAGGGGTGCTAAGAATCTGCGGGAGAAAACTTAAAATTACTACGTGGAATGTTAAAACTTTATATAGAGCAGGCAAATTAGCTAGTACTAAAAACTAGATGAGACGAATGAAGTGAGACATACTTGGTATGCACGAGGTGAGATGAAATGGAGAAGGATATGAGGATTCAGTAAATGGCAACCGTTTCTATTATGCACGCAAAGATGATACTGCCCAGTCAGGTGTAGGACTGTTGATAACAGCATCAATGATAAAACACACGAAAAGTTTCCTATCAGTCAGCGACATATTAATGATTATCAAATTAAATGGACAACCATTCGACATCAATGTACCTAATACAAATATACGCACTGACAGCAGAAAGCCCAGACGAAGATCTTAAGATTTTCTATTCCGAAATTGAAAAGATCAAAAAACACATAAAATCAGATGACATCCACATATTTATGGGAGATTGGAATGCTAAAGTAGGAGCAGAAAAAGTCGAATCGATCATCGGCCCATATGGTTTAGGAACCAGGAACGAACGAGGAACACGCTTTATTGAATTTTGCCAAGAAAACAACCCGGTGGTTCTTAACACATGATTTAAATTACCTAAAAGACGTCTATAAACGTGGAGGTCTTCTTAAGATTGCAAAGGAAATATTGTGAGGAACCAAATCGACTACATTACAATTAACAAAAGGTTCCGTAATGGTATTCCAAATATAAAAACGTACCCAAGCTGTGACATAAATTCAGACCACAATCCTGTAGACGCAACTATCCGATTAAAACTTAAAAGAGTAGACAAGGCTAAAACCAGTCAGAGAATAGCATGGAGTAGTGCTGGCCAAGGACAAAAACAGAAGTATAAAGACATGGTAGACACGCAATTAGAGTCTAAGACAATAGCTCCCACTAAGGAAAAGACAATAAAAGAAAACATTGAAGACATGTGGGGGAAAATTAAAAATTATGTCTTGGAGGAAGCAGACCAAAGTATACAGAAAGAAAACTGTAGACATAGAAAACCACGAATGACAAACGAAATATTACAAATTATGGAGGGGAGACGGATGGTAAAAAACAAAAACCTATCAAGATACAAAGAACTCAACAGGGAAATTGAGAAAAAAAAAATGTAGCTAAGGAAAAGTAAACGAAAGAAAAATGTAAAGAGGTAGAAGATTTGTAAATAAAGCATAAAGATAGAGAACTACACAGAAAGGTTAAAGTAGCTGGAATGTGAAAACCCAAGCTCTTAATAATTGTAACAAATAAAAAAACTAAACTGCAATTAGTCTCTGAAAAACAAACAGAAATATGGGAGCAATATCTTAAAGATTTGTTTGGTGATTAGAGAACAGAAGAGCCCCCACAAATAGATACAGATGGAAAATTAAACATTCTCACCGAAGAAGTTTTGCAGGCAATTAAAGACGCAAAGAACAACAAGGCACCCGGAGAAGACCTAATAACAGCCGAACATTTTAAACACCTAAGTGATAATGCTATCAGGAAATTAACATACCTCTGCAACATTATATATGAACATGGCATAATACCGCATGACTGGCTAAGATCCACTCTTCCTAAAAAACAAAAAGCAAGGAAATGTGAAGACCATCAAACTATATCCCTAATGAGTCATGCCGCTAAGATTGTTATGCGATAAAACCGAACTCACAATAAGTGTGAAGAATACCTGAGTCGTTCTCGATATGGTTTTAGAAAGGGTACAGGCACTAAAGAAGCAATTATGGGATTGACAGTAATAGCAGAAGGGTATATTGAGGTTCAAAAACGGCTGTGTGCTTTGTCGATTATAGAAAGGCCTTCGAATGCATCAAACACGGAAAATTGATTGAGGTGCTAAAATAAGTAAGGTTGGACTGACATGACATAGCTATCATAAGTAATACATACTGGAACCACACAGGATGCGTTTGAACAGAAAACGGAAACACCAAGTACATCAACATAGAACGAGGAATGCGTCAAAAGTTCATTTTGTCCCCCCTATTATTTAATGTATATGCCGAACACATAATTAGAGCTTCTCTTGAAGATCACCCTGAAGGTGCCAAAGTCAATGGAATCATCATGAACAATATAAGATATGCCGATGACACCATAGTATTAGCAGAAGCAGTCCATGTCCAAGCCTACAGGCTGGGCTTGGACATTAACTTTTCCAAGACCAAAATTTTTGTATTCCACAAAAACCCTAATGAACAAGTTACACCTAACATACAAGTAACTGGTATCACCCGTCAGAATTCCCAAAGCGTCATATACCTGGGCAGAGAGCTAAATAGTCAACTAGACCACTTAAAAGAAATTAGAAGACGGATTGAAATAGCAAGATCTGGTTTCATGAATATGCGTAAAATGCTCTGTAACCCCAAGCTATCAGTCTCAATAAAATTAAGAACACTTAAGTGTTATATGTGGTCTCCATTTCTATATGGCTGTAAGACCTGGCCAATAAAGCAGTATGACGCTTGATAGTAATGAACGCACGCCCTCATCGGGTCAATACTATCAAAATTAGAAAGACGTCATATCTAGGACACATAATGCGCCATAAGGAATTTGAACAGCTCCAGATAATATTAGAAGGCAAGATTGAAGAAAAAAGGGGCATAGAACGAAAGAAAAAATATTGGTTACAAAACATCAGAGATTGCACCCTCACAAGAGGAAATTAATTAGTTCATCAAGTCCAGGACAGAGAGAAATTTAACATATTGATCGCCAACCTCAACAGAGAAGGCACTTAGGAGGAGAAGGTTATTTACGAACTACATAAGATCAAAATGCATACTAGACCACTGGAATACAGCAAACATAATTCCTATTCAAAAGAAAGGTAGCAAAGAGGATACCAAAAACTATAGACCTATAAGTCTACTACCAATCATGTACAAAATATTCACAAAGATCATCAACAACAGATTAACAAATACATTAGATGCTGCATAGCCAATAGAGCAAGCTGGCTTCAGAAGTGGATTCAGTACCATGGATGATATCCATACGCTTCGAGAACTAATGAGTACAGCTAGAGAATATGAAATACCGCTAGCATTAACATTCAGTCGATTCTGGCCATTCGAGCCAATTTCGAGAAGGCTTTCGATTCTATATATCTCAAGGCATTAATAGAAGGTTTGACAAACCGTACATAGAGACTTTAAAAAATATATACAGACAAGCAAAAGCTGAGGTAAAAATTTATGAAAACACTCCAAAATTTCCCACTACCAGAGGCGTCCGATTAGGGGACGCAATGTCACTAAAGCTCTTTAATGCAACTCTAGAAAATATATTTAGCAAATTTAACTGGCAGATCAAAGACCTATTCAATTATGAAGAATTTCTCAGCTATCTTAGATTTGCAGACGACATCGTTCTTATTGCTGATAATCCTGCAGAACTACAAAAATGTATAAGCAATCTAAATGAAGGTAGCAATAAAGTTGACCTAAAAATGAATTTGACATAAACAAAAACCATGTACAACGAGGTAGTTGATGCCCAAGATGTAATAATAATAATCAACACTGCACTTGAGACAGTAGACGAGTATGTAAACCTGGGACAATTAATTCATAAATCTAGCTCCTTACTCTAATCTCTTAATATTCAAATCTAAGATGCCACTCCACCTGAAGGAAAAAGCATTCCATCAGTCTATACTACCAATGATTTCGGCTACGAAACTTGGATCTAAAAAACGAGATAATAACGAACTCAAAACCACTTAAGTGTCAATGAAAAAGAATTAAATGGATCAGACACAAAACCAAGGTCACTGATGTAATCCACAGAATTAAACCCTTAAAATGGAATGGGCGATAAATATAGTGAGAAGAACTGGCAATAGATGGTCCTCTAGAATTACACTGTAGTTTCTAAGAGACGTTAAGAGACCAAGAAGATATCCAAATTTAAGATGGGACTATGACATAAGGAAACAAGCCAGTACACAATATTAGACAATCTTCAGCAGAAATTAAGAACGTCTCTGTAAGGGAGGCTGCACCATAATCGGTGAAATACACTGCCAATAATAGTGATGATAATGATGACATCAGGACCTACACCTATTATAAAAGTGTATTATTCCTTATTTTTGACAAATGAGTTTGTGAACTGAAAACTATACACGAGAAGCATGAAGGCAACTTAGGTATAATACACGTCAAGCCACATAAAAGTCACAGAGAGTTGTCGTGATTTCTCTCTTACGTGTAATAATTTTTAAAGCAAAATGAAAGGTTACATAAAAACGCAGTGTATATATGCCAATTTGGTACAATCGCATGGACATATTTTTTACCTTGTTATAAACTGATGTGCGTTTGTGTGTTTGGAGAATAATATCATTTGTAGGAATCCAAAGCCATAGGTGAATGTTTACCTTGTTTCCCACTCCAATAGCTATTATTTCTACACCAGTTGCTTGTTCAAGTTTGCTCTTCATGCTCTCCAACAATTTGCCAACTTCAGTGGCATTTAGTCCTCGGCTGTTTGGTAGAACTTTGAAGGCGACAGAATCAGCAAAAGTTCTGAAAATATATAATGTATTAAATATACTGTTTTACAAAATGAACATTTCGAAGCTGTTAGAAGAACGTCTCTTACCTTCCATCCGCAAAAACTTTTGGATCTAATTTCAAGATGTTGGAAATATTCTTGATGATATTATTTCCTTGACTCCACGACGTTAAAACATTTTTGAGAGTTACATAAACATATTCAAGATCGGGGTCTCGTCTCTGTTGTAGTTCCATGTCTGGATATGGATGAGCACCGCGAGGTTCCTTCTTCATCATCGATGGTAAGAGTATGTCTTTGGGTTTAGTACGTGGTTCGATTTTACCTAAATAAAGAAAAGTGTAGCTAATTTTTCCATATAACGAGTCCTAATAACCAAATGTTTGGACAAACGAAAATTAATTAAATATTTTTTTTTATTTAATTAACGTGTATTAGCAGCAAAGGGCATTGATACGGTTACAAAAGTAAGGATTACAGTATCTTTAAATAAGATTTCAATGTTAGCAAACTAGTAAAAAAAAAACAATATCTATATGGCGCAGTATATTTAACAGTCTTTAAGAAACATTATCACTATTAGTACTAAGGGTGCGCTCATAACAAGGCGCCGACCATAGGATGGTATCATAGTATCATCGCCACGTAAAATAAATGCATTATTTTAAAAATTCCAGCGTTCACCGTTAAAGCGCAGCGCCCAGCCTCGTGCCAGGTATCGGACCATAGACTTGGACCATAGTATTTCAGCTTAGTATTTTTTCGATCCTCGTCCTAGTACTCTAGGATCAACACTACGAGGTGCCGACCACCGAGCCTCGCTGCGACCATCGTATCGATCGCTAGTTAAAATAAATGCATTATTTTAAATGCGAGCGTTCCCTTCATTGTCAGTGCTATGATCTAGGCGAGGATACCATGCGATGGTCTCCGTAATGAACGCACCCTAAAAGTGAGGTTATGTCTTTATCCAGTTTATGTTGTTTTCGTGTTGGTATATAGCTGGAACTCAACTAATATGTGCTTGACGATGACACGGGTATTACAGGTATGGCACCAAGGATGATCAACTCATTAGAAAAAAAAAATATTTCAAATCCTTTATAAAAGGTATATAATAAAATGCCCAAACGGACTATCACAATTATATTAAAAAACGTTTTCGAATTGTTAAATCCATCATCAGTGTAAACGAGGTATACACGCTATGAGCCACCAAAATATATGGGTCAAGACCCTTTAAATGATATAAATTTACAGTTGTTTTACATTATATATGGTTACAAATTATGATGTTTAAGTTACCGTTCGAATTGGTAACATGGCGACGTACGACCCTACATAGGTAAAATGGTCCTGAGACGAAGTGTCTTCGAGGACCTGTTGATAACAACTTTTTTTACCTATGTAGGGTCATACGTCGCCATGTTACCAATTCCAACGGTAACTTAAACATTATAATTTGTAACCATATATAATGTAAAATAACTGTAAATTTATATCATTTAAAGGGTTTTGACCCATATATTTTGGTGGCTCATAGCATGTATACCTCGTTTACACTGATGATGGATTTAACAATCCGAAAAAGTTGTTATCAACAGGTCCTCGAAGACACTTCGTCTCAGAACCATTTTACCTATGTAGGGTCATACGTCGCCATGTTACCAATTCGAACGGTAACTTAAACATCATAATTTGTAATTATAAATAATGTAAAACAACTATAAATTTATATCATTTAAAGGGTTTTGACCCATATATGGTGGCTCATAGCGTGTATACCTCGTTTACACTGATGGATTTAACAATCCGAAAACGTTTTGTAATATAATTGTGATAGCCCGTGTGGGAATTTTATTATATACCTTTTATAAAGGATTTGAAATAATTTTTTTGTGATATATGGTATACAGCCAGCTACAGGAACTAAGTTTCCTAGTGTGTTTTTTTTTCTTACTCATTAGGTACCCATGTGTTCTTCTTCTTCTTCTTAGGGTGCCTGTCCGTTCCGAACGTTGGCGATCATTCTGGCTATGATAATTTTGTTGGTTGCTATACGAAATAGCTGTGTTGAGGTCTTTCTATACCATGCTCTCAGGTTAGCAAGCCAGGATATTCTTCTTCGTCCTGGGGCTCTTTTTCCTTCAATTTTACCCTGCAAAATGCATTGGAGTAGCTCGTATCTGCCTTGATTTCTCATAATATGTCCCAAGTACTCCAGCTTACGGCTCTTCACAATGTTGACCAAATTCGCGGTTGTGTTCATCCTCCGCAGTACTTCTTCATTGGTGACTTTGTCTGTCCATGGTATCTTCAGGATTCTTCTGTATAACCATAATTCAAACGCCTGAAGTTTTGATAGAGTTTCCGCCTTCAATGTCTACATTAATATATACATACTCCATACAGAAGCACTGAGTATACGTAACATTTAAGGAGCCTTATTTTTGTTATAAGGGTGAGGTCATGGCTTTTGAACACAGAGCTCATAGCCAAGAATGCACTTTTGGCCTTTCCGATGCGACATTTAATCTCTTGGGTATTGTCCCACGACTCATTGATTATAGTTCCCAAGTAATTGTATTGTGAGACACGTTCAATTCTCATTTGGTTCACATACAGATTTGCTCCAGTTATGTTTTGCTTGCTGATGATCATTAGCTTGGTTTTGCTGGTGTTTATATCCAGTCCATAGGTTCTACTTGTTTCTGTTATTTTGTTCATTAAGTTTTGCAGCCATTCTATGGATTTTTAAAAACATTATTGTATCATCTGCATACCGCAGGTTATTAAGCTTGACTCCATTTATTGAGATGCCTTCATCAATATCTTTTAGAGCCTCTTCAAAAATGTGCTCCGAGTACAGATTGAATATCAGTGGTGAAATTATGCACCCCTGTTTCAGTCCTCTTAAGATTTTGACCTGTTCTGTATATTTTCCATCTATTCGGATGTGTAAGACGGCAATATCCAATTTTCAATCTTCTTATAACAACTTTGTCTCTTCTAGAAAGTGTTGGTAGTTTAAAGGAGGGAATTCTCGGTTGGATATTATGAAGTCTTGAGCTTGTTCTATCGCAGAGGTTTTGCCAGACTCTCACACACATTTTCTTGATTGTATGTTGCAAATCGACTCCAAGTTAAATACTTTCTATAGATACATTAGAACGGGCTGCCTCTTTAGCTACTTGATCTGCATTTTCATTTCCTGCAATATCCACGTGTTATGGACTCCAAATAATGCTTACCGATGCGAACCTATCTTTTAATTGGTGGCATGCGTTGTGGATATTTTGGATTAATGGGTTTTGGTTGAAAATATTATTGATGGATAGGATTAACGATATTGAGAGTGCAGATTGCGATGTTTTTGCTTTTGTTGATTGTACAATTAAGTGCTTTCATGATGGCATATAGTTCGGCTGTGTAGATGCTACAGTGATATGGAAGACGGTAGGTAGCTATAACTTCTTTGGTAGTAGTGGCAGAAGAACCAACCCGATCTTCAACTTTCGAAGCGTCTATATAGATGATTGAGTCATACTGTTTGGTTTGGATGAGTTCCAGGAAGGATGCCTTTGGGACGGAACTAGGAGTTTCTTTTTTGACATATGCTGAAAGCCTGGTGTTTATAGCGGGCAACATTATTATTCATGGTGGAGTATTAGAGGATAATATTGGAGTAGTACTTTGTAAATCTATATTACCTAAACCTCTATTAGTTCTTTAAGAAATTGTAAAGCTGGTTATACTGCTCTATATTTGTTTACTGCTATTGGTTTGGTAGTGTTGATTAACCCGTTGACTGGATTATTCGGATTGGCTAATGCTTTGACCAAGTAGGACAAAATAAGTCGCTGACAGCGAATATTAGTAGGTGGTTGGTCAGCTTCGACTTGAATACTTTCTGTGGGACTAGATCTAAAGGCACCAAGACATATTCGAAGAGCGGTGTTTGAATGATATTGAGGCAATTTAGTTGTGAGTCGGGGGCGAATATGTATAGTATACTACCATAATCCATTTTTGAATGAATTAAAGATTGGTAAATTCTCAGCAAGATATCTTCGTCTGCTCCCCATTGATGGTTCGCTAATGATTTTAAGATATTTATGTTTTTGAGAAAAATACCCTTTAATTCTTGAATATGATATTTCCAAGATAACTTTTTATCAAAGATTACACCTAAAAATTTTTGTTGGTGTACTACTTGTAGTGGGATTCCATTTAAGGTTAAATTAATTAAGTTGAAAGAATGTTTTTTACTAAAATGAACTTCTTCTTTTTCTTATTGCCCCATCTTCTATGGCAATTATAACTTTGGAATCTGCTGCATGAAAGATTTCTGTGGATGAGCGGTCAAACCAACTCCTCAGGTCCTTCAACCACGAGTTCTGACCTCTTCCAACTGATCTTTTGCTCTGAACTTTACCTTTCAATATGATTTGGAGTAATTTGAGAAATGACCTATTTTTTTATGAAAATTTAAATCTTGTTCCTTTTGATTAACTGTGAATATCATTTAAAACAGTTTAAATTAACGAGCAAGTGGATGTTGTGGTTTTTCCTTCAGAGAAAATTACTAGATCCTCTGCGTATATTGCATATTTGATTGGGAGTTGAAGAAGTGTACCAATATTGTTTATGCTCATTAATAATAGAGGAACTCGCTAAATACAAAATACTAAATACAGATTACTGAAAATAATCCTTTAAGGCAAAGTATTCGGAAAGCGAGGAATTAGGAGAAGAAGAATATCATGGTTAAAAAACCCGGGGCTTATAGCCAGAATAATCGCCATCATTCGAAACGAATAGGCAACTAAAGAAGAATGAGTAGTTCTTAGGACAGATCCTTGTGGTATACCATTTTCTGTAAGATGTGTTGCTGAGAATTTTCCGTCGGTAGAAATTCTGAAAGTTCTAGTAGACAAAAAGTTTTCAAGAAAGTAATATACATTACCATATAATTTCATTTTCTGTAGTGTTTCTAGGATTACCGATTTCTGAACTATATCAAATGTGCTCTAAATATAGAGAGATACAGCAATAAGGCAAATAAACTATTTAAATGTGTTGATGTCTATAAACTTTGGTGCAGTGTTCACATAAAAATAAACGAATATTCCACAATATCGTGTCAACCAAATATTCGGAATTATCTCTTTACCGTGTATAAAATAAATCATTTTGACATAATAATATGGCATAACATAACATAACAAAACAACAATGAATCATCATAAGTAATAAATTTCTTGACAGTTAATTGTAACAAACCTCTAGTGAAAAGCTCTGATAAAATATTTATTCAAATGGTCAGAAGTGGTAGTAAAAAATATTGTCAAGTTAAAAAATATGAGAAATTGCTAAAAAATTAGATGTGGCCAAGTTTACAATTGCGGACATACTTAAACATTATCGTGAGAGTGGAAGTATCCAACCTAAAGGCGGAAGTTCAAGTAGACCGGGAATTGTGTCGTGTCGTGATAGGGGTCGACGATTACTAGTGAAACTTTGAAAACTGTAAATTGTTTTCATAAAAATATTATTGTTTCATTATGCAGTAGAGTTAATGATACAAAAATTAAGCAGTGTAAAAAATCAGCATAGAGGCCATATATAACATCCAAAGATCAGCATTACAAGAGTTATATTGAAAGAAAAAAAGCTTTATTCTATTACAAGGTGTAGACCAAAGAAGAATAATATTTGTTTATAAAATCATATAAGTACGTATAGTATTAAATTTACCTTTATTTTCTTTGATTTCCGTTAATGAGTCAAAAGGTGGGCCAGGTTTCTTCACATCCAATCTTTCAGGTCTTTTAAAAGCTTTATACTTCTGTAGAATTTGATTTAAGTTATTTTTAAAGAGTCGATTTTGAGGAACATTTTCTGTAACAGAGTTTTTTACTTAAAGTTAATTTAAATATTAAATGAAAATATAAAGTATATAATGAACGTTAGGTTTATCATACACACCAGGGGCTGCACCTATTCTTTCCTTAACCTTTTTGTAGATCTGTTTGTTTCTAAAATATATTCTTAAAGTAATAAATTTTAAAAAAAAATTCTTCTTATAATTAAAACAACAACTGGAACAGTGGAATGGGAGTGTAAAAAAAATGGAAATTTTAGATGGTGAAATGATTGTAAAAGATAATGGTTTCGAGGATATGGTATCAGATTTACAGACTAATGGAAACAACGACAGAGATACATGCAGTATATATTTATTTTGTGGACGACAACTAGGTGTTTGATAGAGCTCAGAACAATCCTGAAAGAGGTGGTCCTAGATTATAGGAAACTAAGAATCATAAGAATCATCTATAATATCTACTATAACCAAAATTCCAACATTAAAGTGAATCTCGAAACAGAGCCACTCTCAATAGATATGGATGCATGCTGCTCCCGTTACTGAAATATACTCTGAACATATATTCGCATAAGCGCATTAAGACAAAAAAAAGATATATTATTCAATGAAGTGGATCTGAATAACATTGGATATATTGACGATCAGTAGTTTTTGCTGACAGTGTAAAGGTCCATAAATACTAATGTCACTCAAACTAGATATCAGTAAAGGTTAACGACTAGACAAAAAAAAAAACAAATATACAACTAACATAAACAGCTAAATGGATCACTCCATCGAAATAAAATAATGTATAGGGAAGGTAAGATCAGTATTTATACAGACAAAATATATCTTTAGGAGTCATTATTAACCACTCAGAGACAAAGTCTCCATCCTTACACATTATGTTTTTCTTCCTCATTTTATGACGCAGTAGCTTGGACGCTTTCTAAAACTTCTTTAAAAAATGTTTCGAATACTTTGAGATGTAGCTTTAAAAGCATACCTACCTTAAGAATTTTATGGACGAACTGGCAGACTAATGTAGAATGAGGACGAATTGCGAGACCATGCATACAATCAAGAAGCACAAATTAAAAGATATGTACCATATTACGAGAAATAAGTAGAGATATGGATTGCTGTAACTTCTTTAGGGCAAGGTGTATGGTAAAAGAGAACCAGGTAGAAGAACAATTTCTTTTTCTTCACAGGCGGATAAAATGGTTTAACTAAGCAGTTTATATCCGGGCTATTTAGAAAAGCCAACAGCAAATTAAAAAGAGCCATGTTGATGGCAAAGATCCAGAAAGGATAGACACCGTAAGAAGAAGAAAAAGCTGATTCCTGATTAATTGAATTTCAGCCTTATTAGCTGACCGGAAAATACACATTTTGGTATATACTTAACCAGGTCATGGTGGCTCAGCTCATGGTTGCACTCTGATTCTTTCAAATAACAATGATTTTTCTTCAGTTTCGAAATATGACTATTTGCTGGGTGAAAACTACTTCAAATTTTCTTTGATTTATAATAAGAAATTTAATCTATACATTATTTGCATTTATAGATCACCTAGCTCTGATACTGAACTATTTTTTCAGAGCCTGCTAAATTTGTTAGATATTCTGCCCATTAAAAGCAGAAAAATTTTATGTGGTGATTTTAATATTGACTACGCTGCTGTTTGTGTGACCCAACTGTCTTTGGTAACTATTTTTGAATCATATGGTCTCACAATGCACGTTAATTCTCCAACAAGAATCTCAAAAACATTATCCTCGACAATTGATTATGTGGTTTCCGATTTTCCACCCACTGACGTCCATTCTACAGTTATTAGTGGGGGGCTTTCTGATCATGAAGCGGTATATACCAAGTTTAGCAGTTTACAAACACCTCACTTAAAAACCCGACGATTAGGTAGGATTTTTTCCACTCAAAACTTTCGTAAATTCTATAATTTATTCTTGACTTCTGACTGGAGTTTTTCTTCTGGGGACATTGACTGTAATGTTAGTGATTTTCTAAATAGACTTGTATCTATTTTTAATAAAGCATTTCCTCTATTAAACATCAGGCCAAAATATAACAAACCTTGGATTACCAAAGGCATTCGCATATCTGCGAAAAATCTGCTATATATTAAAAAATTTAATGACAGTATCCCCATCTCTGATTATATCAGTAAGTACAGAAAATGCTATATAAAACTACTCAAAGTAGCCAAAAAATCCTACTTTCATAATCGCTTAACAAGCTCCAAAGATAGTTCAAAAGAAGCTTGGTCAATAATAAACGATTTTCGAAATAAAACCAGTACAGCGAATCAAACCTTTTCTTTTCCTAACCCCGAAAATCTAAATGATTACTTTGTTAATGTGAGTAAAAATATAACCTCAACTATTTCGCCACAACAAGATCCAGTTTCCTATCTCTCTAATTCAAAAAACATTGCTGATACCTTCTTTTTAAGAACAGTTGATAAGACGGAACTCATTTCAACAATTCGTAGTATAAAAAGCACATCGTCCTGTAGTACAGATGGATTATCTATTAAAATTTTCTCAAATCTACCGCATAATGTTTTGGAGGTCATGGTCTCGCTAGTAAATGATTCCCTTGAAAACGGTACATTCCCTAACTGCCTAAAGACTGCCACCGTCATTCCTCTTCATAAAGATGGAGAAAAATCTGATGCCTGCAACTATAGACCTATTGCCTTGTTACCAGCACTATCAAAAATTATTGAAAGACTTATAAAAGTTCGACTTACGCCCTTTCTCCTTAAATATAATATTTTATCGCAAAATCAGTTCGGCTTTTTGTCTAATAAATGCACTAGTGATGCCATATTTTCTGTGTTACATGATGTATATCTATCACTAAACAGTAACCTCTCCTCCGCCACCGTTTTCTGCAACTATTCCAAAGCCTTTGACTGCGTAAATCACGACATTCTATTAAAAAATTAACTTTCTATGGAATTCGGGGTGTGTCTTTGAACTGGTTCAAAACTTATTTGGTAGGTAGGAAACAATTTGTTAGAATAAATGACACCGACTCTAGTTGTAAATATATTGAGTGTGGAGTACCGCAAGGTTTAGTATTAGGTCCCATTATTTTTTTACTTTTCATTAATGACATCACTTACTTGAAAATTAAAGGGAAAATTTTTCTATTTGCTGATGATACCAATATTACTTGGAGCAGCTCTGATATTTCAACGCATCATTCAATTATAACCGCTGATTTACTTATAATCAAGGCTTGGTCACACTCCAACTTACTTAGCTTTAACGTGGATAAGACTGTAGCATTATCTTATAAAGGAGTCATGCAACCCTTGCTTTTGAATGAGAGCCAAATCAATATCGTAAATTCCGTGAAATTTCTAGGTATTCTCATTGACATTGATCTCAAATGGTCCTTGCATACTGACTCCTTAAGGAAGAAACTAGCCTCAGCTTGCTTTGCAATAAGATCTGTTTGGGCCCCATTTTATACTATTTTTAAGTTGCAAAAAAGAGCAATCCGTTATCTATTTGGTCTCAAACAAACAACTCATTGCAAGACCTACTTCAAATATCACGGAATTTTGACGCTTCCCTCTTTATTTATTTTGGAAACGGTTTGTTTGGTTCGAAAGCATCTAAACATTTTTCCCGATAGACCTGACCATGGCTACTCCATTAGAAATTCGGATTGTAACGTTTATTTGCCGATGCCGTCCACTCAGCTAGTAAAGAATTCTATTCTATATCGTGCAAAGAAACTTTATAATCACCTTCCAAGAGAAATTAAATCCGCAACATCCTTCATTAAGTTTCGTAAGGTGACAAAAATCTATCTCTCAGAAAGACCATATTATTTAGTTGACGAGTTTCTTAATGTATAACAAAGAAACAAAATTAGTATTGTTTATAATTACATTTGGGTGTCTCAAGCAGTGGCTACAATTTGTCTCATTTGTTGTTGTCTGTACAAATTATGTAGGTTATACAATAATTTTACTAATTTAAAATTGTGTTATTCTGTTTTTTACTATATTTGTTTTTGTTTTATACTTTTTGTACTATTTGACTGATTTATTTTTTAGCTTTGTCCATAAAATTGTTCAATAATTTTCAGTGACAATAAAGTATATTTCTATTCTATTCTATTCTAGGTCTATTTTCCCGATAGAAGTTATGTTGTATTAAGATCCAGACCTTTTTCCGGTTGTAGACAGTGCTCTTTGGCACTCCTTTGAACCGAAGTATTTTATAGCTGATCCTTTTTTTGGAACATTCATCAGTGGTTTCTTTTTCATAAATTTCGATAACCTAGAACCCATACACTGCACAATATCATGCTCCGCCAGTCTGTCGAGTTTTTCTCGGCATTTCAAAACTAGCCTGGCGTCCACCTTAGAGCTTTTAAAAGTTCCTATGATCGCTTTTTTAATTCACATACTTAGGCTACCTGATCACCAAGAAGAACGTCATGACGGAAGAAATAGCCAAAAATATTCCTAGCAAACAAATGCTATTTTGGATTAAGCAGACATATGAGAAGCAGAAACTTAAGCCAAAAAACAAAAATAACCATATACAAAACCATTATACAACCAGTGTTGAGATATGGATCGGAGACATGGACCATTTCCAAGTCAGATGACAACCTCCTGCTTATATTTGAACGAAGGATCCTGAGAAGAATATTTGCTGTCATCTGTGAAAATGGTGTTTGGAGAAGGAAATACAACTATGAGATATATCACAGATATAAATATATATTTGGTGGTAAGGACGTAGTATCTCATATAAAAATAGGAAGACTAAGATGGGCAGGACATCTGGCAAGATCACAGCAGAACAACCCTCTTAGAAGAATCGTTATGTCACAACCTGTAAGAAGTAGAAGTAGGGGTAGGCCAAAACTCAGATGGAGGGATGGTGTGGATCAGGATGGTAGAAAAATAGGCGCAGCAAACTGGTAACAGTTGGCAATGGATAGAACCGACTGGCGTAATAGACTTGGGAAGGTGAGGCTCTTTTATAGGGCTGTAGCACCAATGATGATGATGATGATCGCTTCTGTATCTGTGCATATATTGATTCGTTTCAATTCGGAAGCCCTCGTGCCAATTTCTCTTTTATAACGCAACATTGCACAAATCTCTGAGTGAATCTGAATACTCGGGAGAACTCTGCACCCTAGCAGTGTATAATTTGACTGCCAGGATGCAGAATAATGAGCATAATAACATGTATTAATTTGTATGTGCATAATAATTTTTAATGGCGATTTTTAACGGTTTTGGGCACTTTTGATTTTTTATTCGCTTTGTTCTTAACGAAGTGTGACCTCGGAGGGCACAAAATTTTCAGAATAGACCATTTCTTGTGAGCTTTTACATCAGAAAATATCTAGAACTCTTGCAATAGATTTACTTAATTTGTTAAAAACAAGTATGTTGGTTGTCACAGCCTGTCACGTTAGTTATGATTTTGCTTTATGTCTAAATATTTTCTAAAATATTCTAAATTTACCTTTGATAATAAATATTTGTTTTGGCTAGTCTGTCCTCAAATTAAAATATCAAAACTGATTTCCAATTAACAGAAAACGTGGATATCAAGAAAAGCTGCTGCAATGGTTTTTATTTAACCTCTAATAGAAATAAATATATAGACTTACCTTTCATATTGACAGGCTCTGACCATACAACACCTCCTTCTGAATAAACCCCTGGTCGACTTTCTTCGATATTATTCATCTGCTCGTAGTCGTTGTCGTTTCTTAACTGTCTTTCTCGAAAAAATTCTGAATTAACAGGATAACCACTGCCAGACTCAGAGTTTTCACGGTCCCCATCGTTTTCTTCATCATAATATATTCTCGATTCTGGAAAGTCTACTGGTGGACCCCACATGCTGTCGTCATCATTGTTAAAATCTTGTTCACCTACATCATCAGTTTCCTTTTCTCTCTCTAGCTCTTCTCTTAATTGATCCTGTATATCTTTCTGTTTTGTTTTAGTCAAAAGAACCTCGATTAAAAGTCCTAATTTATCTCTATTTTCTGGTTGAAGCAGCTCTGCTATTTGTTCTGGTGTTACGTGAAAGTCGCTTAAAAACTTTATGATTGGGTAGAATTGTTCCTGATCCTAAAAGAGCAAACTCAGCTTTAAATTTAATAGTAGATTTAATAAGAAAACGACTTAGACAAAATTATACCATATTTACTTAATACAAAGATATGCTGGCAATTAGGACACAAATGAGTTCAGTTTAAGACATCTGACTGCTTGCACTTCCATGAGACAATATTTTAACAGAAAGAAGGCGGGTTATGACAAACCGAGTTTGATGAGCAAGTTCAAAATTCAAGCTCAAAACTGTTAACTTATGTTGCACAAAAAATTATTTACAAAATGAACGGACCATTAGGTACAAAGAGAAAAATGATTTCCTCTTCTAGATATTCTAATCAATCTTTCAGCGGTTTCATTGTTCTAAAATATTAATCATCATCACTTATGCTACAGCTTTAAAATATAAGTCTTCTTCTAAATATCAGTTTGTTTGATCCATTTTATAAGCGTTGTCAACTTGTCGCTCCAGTTTTCCTTGTAATCTTATTCACATCAGCTTTGTTCCATCTAAGTGATCCTATACGAAGGTTAATTCTCCCATGCTGGGACTTAAGCGTTCCTATGGGAGGATTGTTCTGATGTGCTAGGTGTCCTGTGTTCAATTCAGTGTCACTATTTTTATAGGAGATATCATGTCTTCTCCAGATGATTGTATAATTCATATTTGTAAGTTCTCTTAAGAATACAAAATTGGCTAGTTTTATTAAATATTTCTCTCAGTATCTTTCATTCATAGGTAGCGGGTAGATATTCTTCTATAATCCCGATAAAGGACAGATCTACTTTAGGGGCGCAACTCTGTCTACACAAGTCTTTATTCTCTCCCATATTCCTAGTAGGGATGGCGGTTTTTGACAAAACACCGGTTTTCGGTTATACCGGTTTTTTTTGCTTACGGTTTAACCTGGCAGTTATAACCGGCCAAAAAAACCGGTTTTTCTAAAAACCGGTTTTCGGTTTTTTTAATCAAATAGATTAAAAAGTTACATTTACAATGCACTTTAGTTTGCGATACTACATTCGCAACACAATTTTTTGTGTTTTATGAGAAAAAAATTCCCCAGACTCTTTCAAATGGGATTTAAAGAAAATAATATCAACATAAATATTTTACTTAAAAATAAATTGAATAATGCAATTCATCTTTTATTTTTACTACCACCAAAAAAAATTTATCATGTATTACTTTTAACTCATTTACGACTTCCGGTATGGGTATAAATCGTTTTGAAAACGTAGGGAAATCCTTGTAGATTCGTATTCGTAATCGGTAATTCGATATTCACAGTCATTATTTTTGGTAATCAGAAAAAGCCATTCACCCACTTTCAATGTCAAGAGTCAAATAACCATAATAAATACCAGATCACTTCTTATGTAAAGATATTATGATTACAAATACTTTTTCGACGAAATACTATAATAAAATTTAATTGTTTCTGGATAATGTGAGGTTTTGCTTCTGTATAAAATAAAAATTGAATTTTAGTTTTGTTTGGAATAATTACTTGAGAATAATAATTATGATTGGGTGGGATCCAAATTAATACCTAACCTAATCTTAATTACTGTAAAAACCTAATAACCGGTTTTTACTTTAAAAATAAAAAACCGGTTATAACCGGGACAAAAAAACAACCGATAAAACCGGTTATTTCGAAGTAAAAAAACCGGTTTTCGGTTAAAACCGGTAGGTTTTTCCCATCCCTAATTCCTAGATTCGGGAAATCATCTTAAATCTATCAATATCACATATACCTTTACAATACCCTACCAGATATAAAAAATAGTAAACGGTAGAAGAAGCAGATGAGACATAGTGCCCAACGATCCTAAATTGTTTAACGTAAACGAATAAAATCTTGTAGCCTGAACAAAGTATATTTAACAACTCTATGCAGAGAATAACTACCGAAATCTTACAGTCAAATAGAATGGAAAACCTTCACCAAAAATACTTTACTCAGATATCCTAAAGGCAATAAAACAAAGTAAACAATAGACGAGAGAAAGTAGCAAATAACAAGCCTTTTCGTGAAACTCTTTAATACAGGTATCTAACAACTACTTTTGATAAATTTAGTGATAACAATATGTAATAAACGAAGCAGGCAAAAGATCAATCGTCATATTTTACGTATAAACAATGTAAGATCGCTATTTGATTTTAAATACTACAGGTATATATAATAGTAAATCCTTTAAATTGAAAGTCTGTATTTGGCTATAAAAATTTCAAGAAATTTGACTTAACAGTTATTGCGGAATTAAAATTGTATACTCCAAAAAACTTTTATCTACAACGTTATTATGCGTAAACTATTGGATCTACGAACAACTAGAACAAACTATCCAGCAAGTAAACCAAGGCGATATACTAATAGTGATGGGCGATATGAACGCTAAAGTTGAAGAAGACAATATTAACTTAGATGCCGTAATGGACAAACAAACGGAAAACCGAAAGCGGTTTTCCGTTTATTTGTCAAGGTTACACGGGCTGGGCTGCACCAGGTCATATAAGAGAAAATCAAATAGACCACATCGCCATATCAAAAAGATGGAGATAATCTCTTCTTGATGTACGTAATAAAAGAGGAGCAGACATCGCAAGTGACCATCATCTCGTAATCTGTAGCATTAAAATCAAGATGGTAAAAAACAAAATCACGCGAAACACCAACAGACCAATACACAATCTAGACAAATTAAAAACGGCTCCAGGACGACACATGTTTGGGGAGGAACTTCAACTCAAAACAAGAGAACGTTAAGTAAATAGCTGAAAAGATTTGGCAGATGTTTTGACAGAAATAGCTGAAAATAAACTGGGTATAAACGAGAATGATTTCTAGTACTGATCATGGATACCGGATACCAAGATCCGGCAGGAGAGGTATACTTCATGACAACAGGGCCTCTCAGGTCGTAATTCTGCGAAATCCCTGTGTTAAAAATACAATAAATATTGGTACATGGAACGTCAGAAGCATGTACGAGCCTGGGAAAATTCACAACGTTATACAAGAGATGCAAAGATTAAACATCGATATCCTAGGCATCAGCGATACAAGATGGTCGGGTGCAGGCAACGTGCACCATCACAGATATGGTGTAGCAATTGTCGTTTCAAGAAGAATGACACAGTCTGTCACTAATTTTTCGCCAGTGTCAGACAGGATCCTGCTCCTACAACTGCATACAAAAACTGCAAAACTTAATATTATACAGGTATATGCCCCTACTGCAGATAAATCAGATGAAGAGATTGAGCAGTTTTATGAACAAATAAATCAAGTTCTAAAGTCTGCAAAGCCAAAAGATGTTACACTTATCCTTGGAGACTTCAACTCCAAAATTGGCAAAGGAAAAAGCGGAAAAAATGTGGGAGAATATGGTTTAGGGGCAAGAAACGACAGAGGAGACAAACTTTTAGAGTTCTGTCAAGAGAATGATATGATAATTTCAAATACATTCTTTAAGCTACCCAAACGAAGACTGTACACATGGACGTCCCCTCAACACACTAGGGAAAAAACAATTAGGAATCAGATAGATTATATTTTAATAAATGAGCGATACAGAAACTGTATAAGATCAGTTAAGGCTTATCCAGGCGCAGATGTTTCTTCAGATCATAACCCCCTGATAGCGCGGGTACACATTAGACTCAAAAGACCTTCAAATAAAACAAAAATAGATCACATAGATACCAGCCGCTTACAAGATCCAACAATTAAAGAAGATTTAAAACAACATATCAATGATAACTTACGAATGCTTTCTACAAAGACAGAGAACACGCATGTAGAAGATAAGTGGCAAGATTTAAAAGACGCCATAATAAAACCTGCCCAGAAAATGCTTACCAAAGAGAAACAGAAAAAAGGACGAGAATGGATAACAGAAAAAATTTTAGGTCTCATGGAAGAGCGAAGACAGTTAAAGGGAAAATGCAGCCAAAAATATAATGAAGTAAACAAACAAATCAGAAAAGAAATAAGAACTGCAAAGGAAAATTTTTATACAAGAAAATGCGAGGAAATCGAAGAACTACATCTCAAACATGACACTTTTAACTTACATAAAAAGATAAAGGAACTGACACGTACACAAAAACGAAAACATCCCAATCTCCTATGCAACGCAAATGGTGAAATAATAGCCGATCTAGAAGAAAAGCTTAGGACCTGGAAGAACTATGTAGAAGAATTGTTCGACGATGAAAGACAAGAACCTAATATAGATAACTTGCAAGGCGACGAAGGACCAGAAATAACTAAAGAAGAACTATTATACGCTATAAAAATAATGAAAAATGGTAAATCACCGGGTCCAGACGGGCTCACATCAGAACTTCTTAAGCTTGTGGAAGGCGAATCAGTGAATATTCTACTCGACCTTTTTAACTGCATCTACAAAAGAGGAGAAATACCAAAGGAATGGCTACTTTCAACTTTTGTAACCTTACCAAAAAAGGCAAATGCAAAACAGTGCACTGACTACCGCACTATAAGCTTAATGGGGCATACATTAAAAGTATTCATCAAAGTAATCCACTCAAGAATTAATAGAAAACTAGATGCAGATATTAGTAATACTCAATTCGGATTTCGGAACGGGCTTGGAACAAGAGAAGCACTATTTGCACTTAACGTCATATGCCAAAGATGTCTAGATATAAACCAAGATATATATATATATATATATATATATATATATATATATATATATATATATATATATATATATATATATATATATATATATGTGTGTGCTTTATTGATTACAACAAAGCGTTTGATAAAGTTCGTCACGACCACTTAATGAAACTGCTAGTAGAAAAAAAACTTGGATAAAAGGGACATTAGAATTATCTCTAAGATTTACTATAACCAGAAAGCAAATATCCGAATAGAGCAAGAGACAACGGAGGAAATCGAGATCAAGAAAGGCGTAAGACAGGGTTGTATACTCTCACCGACCTTATTCAATCTATACTCCGAAGACAT